CCTCTCTCTCTCTCTCTCTCTCTCTCTCTCTCTTCCTCCTGTCAACTCGGGTGGAAGGCCGTTTTCTCGATAAAGGGGAGGGTGAAATGGACGCCGGAATAAAAGATACGGCGTAGATACTAAACGGATCGGATCTTTTAGTATCGGATTCAAGTTTTTATCGGAGTGGGTAAAATATACATCACACTACCATATCAATGTTCTATATAGAAATATAATAAGATAAAATTCATATGTACTTTAATGAATGTGGATATTAATCATGACATCTAGTCAAAGATAAATTAGACTATCGTGTAATTTAATTAGAGTTCGAATAATAAAATATATATCGTAGTTAGGTCCGAATTCGTATTCAAATAAGGCAAAATCTAAAGCATTATTCCTTATCCAAAACAATTTGACATGTGGTGCTAATGTGTCGAATTGGTATTGAATGGGATGCATATTGGAAATATTTAATTGATATTCTTGGCAATAATAAAGATGAATAATAGTGAGAAAGATAGTAGCTTATTTAGGTGCTACAAATAATTAATTCTCTTCAAGAAAACCATTATCTTTTTTTTTTCAAAAAATGGTTTTCTTGAAGAGAGAAATATACAATTATCAGTTAAATATCTTTGAAAAGTAATTAATTGTATATTTATCGCTTCAAGAAAACCATTTGGATGTCTTCAAAAAATTGAAATATAAATCATTATAAATGGAGGAAAAGAAATTAAATGTCAACATCTTGAAAGCAATTGTCATAAGGAGGTCCAACTCAGCCTCATCTCTTATTTATAGCTTGGTCTAATTTTCCCGGTCGTCATGATTGAAATTTCAAGGCCGATCTCGACTTTTTGGTCCATTTCAGATAAGTGCATGCATGGGTACACAACACACATACTCATGAGTCATGGCCATGATTTATATATGTGAGTTATACATGTAGAAAATTCAGCAAAGCAAAACGAGAAAATAAGAAATATAACTAAAGGTGTTCTTTTAATGCAAAAAAATTACATATTACGCTTGTAATTAAAAGCTCAAGAAATATTTTACATGACTCGAGACTTCATAATATTGCGCTCTTAAATTTTAGCATAGGATATAATACATGCATATATACATACATCTAAAGTGTTACGTAATATAACTTGGAATACAAGTCAAATACAAGCTTAAATTTAAATTATTTATAAACATTAAGTTATTTCGACAGCCCTATTATGTATTTATGGAGCCTTTAGAGCATATGCTTGATCTAGAGTTGACTTATAAGAAGATCAAAGTCGAGTGTGGTTTCTAATGCGATCTATCCGAACTCAATGTTTCGGATAATGTAGAAAAAAAGTACGGATGAAAATTTTATAATCTTGATTACTATGGTTTGATTTTTTTTTTTTAACCGATCTAACTAATTTGAATACATCTATATTCCATGTGATGTGTGTGACATATTTATATGAGTTGTGCATATTATAGGTCAGAAATCATTCAAATATAGGTTTGATAGGAAATATATAATCAGTTAATTATCGTTCTCTATGCAAGCATCACGTAAAGCTTGTTGGAGAAAATACTCAAACGATCAGAAACTCACTTGGTCGCATGGATAAGAGTCCAAGAGGCATCCTGGGTCATTTACCAATTATCCCCTATGAAAAATTTATAAGAATATTTTCGAAAATCTAAAAGATAGTCCAAAAAAAAATATTAATTTAGGTTGGAAATATTACAGATTTTTTATTTTTTATTTTTCCATCGACGACAAATATAAGGATCATGTGATACCCACTAAGCATGATCGTAATCTCCTCACAGGCTCACGTAAATGTGATGGCTGTACTGCATATGAAATCCATCTTGGTCCGATATATATCTAATGCAATACTTGTACGTTGGAGGAATATATTCCATGTCACAAAGATAAAAATTCCCGAGAATCCAAGTCAAAATCATTGCTACTCTCTCTCTCTCTCTCACACACACACACACACACACATAGAATGTATCTTTTTTGGATTCTTAATTGAAGGGACACAATAAAAGTCGTAAAATCACATGCCATGTCAGTACTTGCGGGCACGAGTAGTACAAGCATGTGAGCCGTTCTAAAGATTCGAGGCGGGTGTGTCGTCGAGTCACACGCACACACATACACGTACATGATGTACACATCATTTGGGCAATCGGACAAGTTGCCACGTTTGATCCTTAGTAATTGATGAAAATTTGTACTCATTAATTTTTATTTTCTTTGTTCCATCCATGCAACTATTTCTCCTTATTATCCAACTATATCAAATCACATGTGTGGGGTGTAAATCTAGACATCCAAATAGGTGTTTAGTATGTTTAAGGGTTTAATTATATTCAGATATATTAAGACATTATAATCGAATATTATCTTAGTATAATTAATTTTTTTTAGAATTTTTGGGATAGATTTGAATAAAATAATAGACATCCATCATGCTTATGATTACTTTGTTGTCATCTCTACCAATCCACAATTTATGCTCTTACATCATGATTTTGAAAATTTTTCATATTTTATATAACAATCATATGCTTTCATAGTCTCCAAATAAACAATAAGCCCACTAAAGGAATCTTGATGTTTAGACATGATTAGATAGCTATGCTATTCATCCTTTTATTTTTGGGCTGATTTCTCTTCTATAAGATAAAGAGTCTGTGTATCCAAAGATACACATTAAACATGATTATATATTCTTTTATGAAAAAATAAGTGATAATTTTTCTCAAGATAATTTATCACTTAAGTTAGTCTATGCTTATTGTTACGGTGAGTAACTTTTTAGCCGTGGCCTCGGGGCCGTCGCGGCTTGGTTTGGGTCCGGAAGACGGAGACCTCCGTGGGGGTGCTCCTCGAGCAAGCTGAATCTCCGAAGGCGAGGGATCTCCGAAGGCTTCGCACCTGCACAAAGGTCGGGTCGGGGTGCTCGACCCGACCCCTCCGACGATCAAATTAGCGAAAGATGTGGAGGGGGTTTAGGAGGAGGAGAAACCTCCGTGTGTTGAGTGTGTCCTCCCCTTTTTGCTTAGGACTCAGGGGTATTTATAGAGGAGGTTTGATGTTACCTGACGTAGATGTCTGCAGGGCAGGACTGTACCTTTGGTGGCGTCTGACATTGCCACTGGGGTTGCGTGGGAGGCTGAGCTGCTGCAGGGTATGGCGAGCCTCGGGTAGTGTGTCGCTCAGGGGGATGCTGTCATGGCGTGTCACATCGCCATTTTTGCCCCTATCATATGCCCCCCCCGAAAGGAGCTATGCGTCGGTTCTTGCATGCAGGGGGTCCGATGCATGGCTTTTTACTTCAGGTGGGCTGGTCATGCGGGTCTGAGGGGCACGATGCAGACGGACCGGTCGCGCGAACGTGTCTCGAGCAGCAAAAGGCCGAGGTACGCGATTTAGTCGGGAGGTTGAATGGGATTGGACTCGGGGGCGACAGAATCGACGAGGGCCGAGGAGCACAACGCAAGCGGGGTGACCGCGCAGGTGTGGTCTCGGGAGGCGTAGAGCCGAGGGCCGAGGAGCACAACGCAGGCGGGGTGACC